AAATGTAACTATACTAAACATGATATTTCAACTAATGATTCGCCTAGATGTAATTAAGTTATACTAAACACGAAAAATGTCTATTTTTTCGTTGAAATTAAGATTTCAGATGTAAATATGCTAAACATGAATATGATATTTCAACTAATTGTTTGTCTAGATTTAAAATTAGGACATCCACAAGAAAGAACAGGTTTTAATATACTAAACATGATATTTTAACTAATTATTCTTCTAGAATTAAAATTAGGACGTCCACAAGAAAGAAAGAATAAACTCAAAACCTTTAGCTTGACGGCTTATGCATTTTAATGAAATATGTGGAGGAGATATATGATGCGGACAAGTTCAACTAGCTTTGAGAGGAAGTAACTGAGAAAGTGGGGAAATTTATGAAGCTCAGGTGGCATTGGGTCCTTAAGAAATGAATAGGAATATGACTTGTAATTAAGGTTTGTATATGGGCGGCCCTCCCATCTCATAATCAATCCTGCCTTGAATACTTTCACAGTAATAAATTACTTTGATGTCTGAAGTCATAACATTTTTACCCAATTTTTAATCTGATATTTCCACTTTTTGTAAAGGTTTCTGTTATGCCTAAAAAATCTAAGGCTGACGTGGACTCTCGTCAGTAAGAGCCAATCAGAATTTAAGGAGGTTTTATTCCGTCCAGACGTTGTCACGTCACACAAGGACGGAAGAGGTATGGTTCTTGTCAGTGTAGCAGGTGAATGTCAAGCTTGCGAGTGGTTACGGATCGTACACCTGCTCAAGCCTTATGCAATTTGAGGATATCTCTCGTACAGACAACCAATGGGATGCAAGGAAGGACTTACAGACTTGTAATCATTACCTTGAATTCTCCCATTCTAAATAGAGGACTCCTCTCTCATTTACGGGATTGGCTTATCTTAGTCTAAAACAGCATACACACACTCTCTCTCTCTCTCTCTTTATATATATATATATATATATTCTCTCTAGATTATAACTCAACTCGCTACATGCGTCCTGATTGTAACTATCTATTAATACAATCACAATGGATGTAAGAATCGCTTTTGAGCATCCGAACCACTTTAAAAATCGTCTTTTATTCACTCTCTTGCTACACATTTTCATATCACGTGTAACTTCTAAGCCCACTTAACATTTTACACGTGTAAATCGTTGGTGTCAAAATCAAGCATCAACAGTTTTAAAACAAACAAATAAGCAACCTCTAAATGGATTAACAGATTTAATTATTTATTGGAATCAACTTCAACTATAAGATTGATTATATATTTTTCTGTTTAGATTACAATCAGTTTGGTTAATTATATGTTTGCTCTTTTGGGTATTAAGTGAGATAATTAAAGAACTTTTATAGGGGAAAATATTGCAGAATGAACAAATCATTATTGGTTAAGTTAAGGCAAGATTAATTATATAAACAAGCCTTAAAATATGCAAGAATCAAGCTGGATAACAGATAAGTATGAACTTATAATTTAATTATCTTAATGATATTTTCTAAGCCACAGACTTTTAAAATATCATTTTATTACCTAAATTTATATTTCGTTTTCAATTTTGACATCGTTACGACCCCATACTACCACCATTCTCTTACACGATCATCACTCACCAAAACCTTTCAAACCCTACTTCCGCGAGCCTTGCCAATCTCCAGTAATCTAGAGATTAGGATTTATGCAGCCGTCCCTCCTAAGTCAAATTTCGATCAATCCCAACCACCAAAATCCAACCTTTCACCACAAAAAGACGCATCGGTGTCCCCTTTTCAAAAGCCTCAATGGCCTAAACCGAGTTTACTCTTTGTTTGCCGTTGAAATATAAATTTGAATAGTAAAATTGTATTTTAAAAGTTTGTGGGTGGGTAAGTGTCATTAAGTCATTATTTGGGTGGGAAAAATTCATTAACTCTTTAATTATTTATGATAATCCAAACTTAAATAATTAAATAGGATGATTAAGTTAAGTAATTCCCTTCCTCATAAGGTAATGTATAGGGCCTTACAATGTCACTTTATAGATCAATGTTCTCATCATTTGGTAGTTTAGGTCACAATTTGATCAACAAGCTTCAATACACAATAAGGTTTTTAATTGTAGAATACGTTTCTGAAAATACCTCCATTTTAAAAATTGGATCGGACCGGCCGGTCCGACCAAGACCCGACAGCTTCTTTGGTCCGGTTCAGGTCTTAGGGGATTTTTGTAATATTTTAAAATTATAAGGGTTACTTTGTAATTTTATAGGGGTGTTTTGAAGATATGTCAAAAGTTTAGGGACTAATTGGTAATTTGTGGGGCATTTTTGAAATAAATAAAAAATTTTGGGACTAATTTAAACTTTTTTTTGGGAGAATTTTTGTAATATATTAAAATTTAAGGGATTAATATGTAATTTTTAAAAAATAAACTTATCGCTGACGTTATCAATCCAATCGACTGGTCCAACCGATTAGACCGATTGACTCGTGACCCAGGTAGCAAAACAGGTTACTCTCTGATTTGGGTTTTATACTTGAAACATAATTTGTAGTAAAACATGTCACGTTTACAAATAATAATCCAAACTCTTAAAAAAGAAATCTATTTATTACGATTTGATGAATATGTGGAGGAGATATATGATGTGGACAAGTTCAACTAGCTTTGAGATGAAGTAATCGAGAAAGGGTGGGAATTTATGAAGCTCAGGTGGCATTAGGTGCTTAAGAAATGAATAGGAATATGACTTCTAATTAAGGTATGTATTTGGACGGCTGCTACTTGCCAGCCTGATACGCCTGAGAATTCAAGGGTTGACGTGGAAAATCACATGATGGGGTGTGACCTATTCTCGTCAGAACGGTAAGCACACGTCAAGCTTACTAGACGCTATAGAGCTCCCACGTGTCCATTTCCCTGCTCTAAATCGCGTGAAATCAGCTTAGAAGGTGGGCAATGTGACGTGAAGTCGGATTTTGTCCTGATATTCACAGCAACCCATGGATTTAATGATAATTACTTGCACTCATCTTACTATAAAAAGAGGAAGACCCCTTCATTAAGGGGATTCGGCTATTTTACACTTTGAACTAGCTTTCTCTCTCTCTCTCTCTTGTACCTTTGTATTTATATTTCCCTAATAATTTATAAGTCAGTCCGCTGTTGCGACCTGACCCACAATACTAATACAAATACGTAGGACTTGCTACCTTAGCATTCGAACCACTTTAAAAAGCTCTCATTGCATTTACTCTACATTTCATCCATAATCACGTGTGTCTTTTGACCAATCAACATTATGCACGTGTCGATTAGTTGGTATAAAAAATCACGCATCAACACAGCCCTTCCCATCTCATAATCAATCCTGCCTTGAATTGAATAAATCCAACTTAATTTCACAATAATAAATTACTTTGATGTCTAAAGTCTTAACATTTTACCCAATTTTTATGCATACTTTTAATCAGAAATTTTCCACTTTTTGTAAAGGTTTCAGAACAGACAATGAAGCAACCTCTAAATTGATTAACAGATTGGATATCATTTATTGGTGTCAACTTCAACTATAAGATTGATTATATATATTCTGTTTAGAATGGTATCAGTTTGGTTAATTATATGTTGCTCTTTTGGGTATTAAGTGAGGTAATTAAAGAACTTTTTTAGGGGAAAATATTGCAGAATGAACAAATCATTAGTGCTTAAGGTAAGATTAACTAGATAAACAAGCCTTAAAAATCTGCAAGCTGGATTATAGATAAGTATGAACTTATAATTTAATTATGAGTAAACTACTTTTTTTTCCCACCCACTGATTTTTCAAATACAATTTCACTACCCAAATTTATATTTTGTTTCCAATTTCGGCATCTTTGTAATCTCACACCACCACTATTCTCTTCTCTGATCATTATTCACTAAAACCCTTCAAACCCTACTCCCGCTAACCTCATCAATGCTGGCAATCGAGTGATTAGGGTTTACGCAGTCGCGCCTCCCAAGTCAAATTCTGATTAATCCAAACCACCAAAATCCAATTTTCCATCATCAAAAGACGCATCAATATCCGCTTTTTAAAAACCACAACAACCTGAACCAAGTTTATTTTCTATTCGCCGTTGAAATGTAAATTTGGATGGTAAAAATGATATTTTAAAAGTTTTTGGGTGGGTAAGTGTCATTAAGTCATAATTTGGGTGGGAAAAAGTTGTTAACTCTTTAATTATATATGATAATCCAAACTTAAATTAAATATGGTGATGAAGTTAATTCCCTTCCTCAAAAGGTACTATGTAGGGCCTTTCAATGTCACTTATAGATCAATGTTCTCATCATTTAATAGTTTAGGTCAAAATTTGATCAACAGACAAGAAGCTTCAATACACAACTGTCTATATTGTATACGTATAAGGTTTTTAATTGTAGAATACGTTTTTAATAAAGTCAATAAAAATATTTCTTATTTCAAAAACACTTGCAACATAATTTGTAGTAAAACATGTCATGTTTACAAATAATAATCCGAACTCTTAAAATCTATTTATTATGATTTGTTGTTTTAAATTCAACCAAGCACTTGCCCACGACGCCATTAATCCACAGTTTGAACAGGCTTAGCTTACGCCACAGTAGATCAACATCCAACCTAATTTCATCTACACCAAAATAGTACAAATATCCAGAACTAAAAACCTATTACGCCACGTGTCACCAATCACTTAAATCCCAACTACCCACGTGTCCTCCCATTCCCGCACTCCCTCAAAGTAAAAGAAGAAGACGTATACACATCAAACAAATTAGGAGATTTTAGGTCACCTCTCTCTCACCTTTCCTTCAATAAACTCACTATAAATCTAATTAATAAAAAAATTTACTTTTCAATAAATTAATTTATCCATAAAAAAACACCCACCTTTTCACATTTATAATCCCATTTCCTATATAAACTAATCCCAGCCCAAACATACCTAAACCTAAGCCAAAACCAAAACCAAAACCAAAACCCCTCAAAATTTCTCTTCTAAAATAAACCCACCAAAACGACACCCTCCTCCTCCGCATCCACCACCACCATTTCACGGCGTTACGTATGCTCTCACGCCGTTAACATTCCTGAACCTAATCGCTTTTTTTATTATTTTTAAGTTTCAGAGATGTCTCGTGTTGTAGCGGAAAATAGTATATCACCAGTTCCTGATAATAATTTCCCCTTCTTTACTCAATCCATGGAGCTAATCGACTTGTCGAACAGGACCTCCGGGGCGTCTCCCACACTCGGCCAGCTTTTGAAGCGAGTAGGCGACGTACGGAAAGAAGCAACCGGAGACGAAACTCCGGTGCATCAGATTCTTGACGTTAGCGACACCAGCAGTGTCGAGCCTCGTTCTCTACCGTTCGTTTTGTCGTTCAACAATTTGACCTACAGCGTCAAGGTCCGCCGCAGGCTGGAGCTCCCGGCGATATTCCGCCGGCCTCGACACCACAGTCTAGGCGCCGCCACCGCGACGGATCTCGTCGCGGGAGAGAGTCTCTTCTCCAGAACCAAGACTCTTCTCAATGACATCTCCGGCGAGGCCCGCGAAGGCGAGATTATGGCTGTGCTTGGCGCTAGCGGCTCAGGAAAGTCGACACTAATCGACGCGTTGGCGAACCGTATCGCTAAAGGGAGCTTGAAAGGAACGATTACACTAAACGGCGAAGTTCTGGAGTCGAGGATGTTGAAAGTAATCTCCGCTTATGTCATGCAAGACGATTTGTTGTTCCCGATGTTAACGGTGGAAGAGACGTTAATGTTCGCGGCGGAGTTCCGACTGCCGAGAACATTGTCAAAGTCAAAAAAGAAAATGCGCGTTCAAGCTTTGATTGATCAGCTAGGGTTACGAAATGCGGCAAAAACAGTTATCGGAGACGAAGGCCACAGAGGAGTATCAGGCGGAGAACGACGTCGTGTTTCGATAGGAATTGATATAATTCATGATCCAATTGTTTTATTTCTTGACGAACCGACTTCGGGGCTCGACTCCACCAGTGCTTACATGGTGGTGAAGGTTTTACAAAGGATCGCTCAAAGTGGAAGTATTGTCATGATGTCGATTCACCAGCCGAGTTATCGGATTCTAGGGTTGCTGGATCGGATGATATTTATGTCACGTGGACAAACTGTATACAGAGGTTCACCCATGAGATTGCCTCTGTTTTTCGCCGAGTTCGGCCATCCGATTCCTGAACACGAGAACCGGACCGAGTTCGCTCTTGACCTTATCCGAGAACTCGAGGGCTCCCCCGGCGGGACGAAGAGTTTAGTTGAATTTAATAAATCGTGGCAACAAATGAAGCACACGAGAACTTCAGTCCAAGTAGCTGAGAGCAATCAACAAGGACTCTCACTCAAAGAAGCCATCAGTGCAAGTATTTCAAGAGGAAAGTTAGTTTCAGGAGCAACCAAAAACGATGCAAGTTCAACATCAATGGTGCCCAATTTTGCCAATCCCTTCTGGATTGAAATGGCTGTTTTATCCAAAAGATCCATCAAAAATTCACGTAGAATGCCGGAGCTGTTCGGGATTCGATTGGGGGCAGTTTTGGTAACTGGGTTTATTCTAGCCACCATGTTTTGGCAGCTCGATAATTCGCCCAAAGGTGTTCAAGAAAGGTTAGGATTCTTCGCTTTCGCCATGTCAACAACTTTCTACACTTGCGCCGACGCCCTCCCGGTGTTTCTTCAAGAACGATACATTTTCATGAGAGAGACTTCTCATAACGCTTATCGGAGATCATCTTACGTGTTATCTCACGCTCTGGTGGCGTTACCGCCGTTGATATTTCTCTCATTAGCCTTCTCCGCCACCACATTTTGGGCGGTGGGGCTTGACGGTGGAGTTTCTGGGTTCTTATTCTATTTATTGATAATCTTCGCCTCGTTTTGGGCGGGAAGTTCTTTCGTTACGTTTCTCTCAGGCGTCGTCCCTCATGTTATGTTAGGCTACACTATTGTTGTTGCCATTTTAGCTTATTTTTTACTCTTCAGTGGCTTCTTCATCAACCGCGACCGGATTCCTGACTACTGGATTTGGTTCCATTACTTGTCACTTGTCAAGTACCCGTACGAAGCCGTTTTGCAGAACGAGTTTGACAATCCGGTTAAATGTTTTATTCGAGGTGTTCAGATTTTCGACAATACGCCGCTGGGAGCGGTCCCGACTGCTATGAAAGTGAAATTGTTGGAGACATTGAGCGGGACATTGGGGATGAGAATTACGAGCTCGACGTGCTTGACGACGGGGTCGGATATATTGCAACAACAAGGGATCACGCAATTGAGTAAATGGAGTTGCTTGTGGATCACTGTGGCTTGGGGATTTTTTTTCAGGATTTTGTTTTACTTTTCTTTGTTACTGGGAAGCAAGAACAAGAGACAGTAAGATTAGTGGGGGAAGCTTAATTATTATGTGTGCAATTTGTATTAATTTTTCAATTTTTATTTTGGGCATGTATTCATGTGAAAATTGTTAATTAATCATTTATATTATTTGCTTTCGGATATGGATATATTCGTTGGACCTAATTAATTGTTGCTTGAAGCTATATAATTCTTGCATGGATTTGCATGGCATTGCTTTCTTTATTTTAAAAGATAGGTCAACATAATCACCTGAGCTGACAGCTGAGCACGTACGTCAATGTATAATTAATGAATAATATATTTTGTTTAGAAATTAATAAGATGGACCTGAAAGAATTTATAGGTTGATTAAATATTGTAATTATAATTAGGTCAGAGGCCAAGATTTGATGGTAGTTTAGAAAATTGATTGCACATACAAACAGCGGCTTTAAGCTGTTCACCTAAATTCAGAAACGAAAAAGTTGACTTTGGTTTCAAGCTCACCTGTGCTTACAAGATCTATTAATTTAGTCAATATTTATCTGCCAACAAGACTCATCACACAACTTATACCGGTTCAATTTACAACCGTCTCACAACTAACTCAATTAATTAATAATACATTACTCTTTTTTTTTTTTTTTTGTTTTTCATAATTGGGGTGTTCGACCCGCTTACGTTCATCTAAACTAATCTCTAAGATCCATTGAATACCTTTGTTGATACTTGATTTTGACACCAACTAATCACACGTGAGAAATGTTGAGCTGACTCAAAAGACACACGTGTATATAGGGATATTGGGTTGAATAAGAGATGAAGAACAATGTTTAAAGTGGTTCGGATGCTTAAACATTCAAATCTTACGTCCACTGATATTGCATTAATATGTAAGATCAGGTCGCGTTTAGCGAGCTGATTTATAGCTTTGAGAGTACAAGAGGGAGAGAGAGAGAGAGAAAGAGAGAATATGCTATTCTAGAGTGAAATTAGCTAATATCACAAACAGGAGAGGAACCCTCTATTTATAGTGGAATGAATTGAGGTAATGATTACTGAATCTGTGAATGGGTCAGATTGCTATGCAAATCCTTCTTTGTGTCTCGTTGTTCACCTGCTCCAATGATTTCCTCGATTTGTGCAAGGATTGGACACGTGAAACGTTTCCAACCTTTCGCCACTCTGGCGCATACCCACTGCACTGGTAGGAACATGTCGCTCACGTCAGCATACGACGTGGCTACGTCTGAATGGCTGCAGAACCTACCTAAGCTCTGACCGCCCATACTGACAAGGCTTAGCGTCAGCCCTACTTTTTTAGACATAATAGAATGAGTAAATCTTCTTACCCATCATGCCAACCCTTGAAGTTAAAAAAAAAAAAAAAAAAAAAAAAATTACTCTTCTGATATATATATAGTGTTACATTATTTATTTTTCATTTATTAGTCGAAACTTATGGATGGTAAGTAGTAGTGTTTATGTTGTAAAAGGTGAAGTATTCATCGAGTTTGGTAGCCTAACTTAATAATTGGTTACATCAACACAACACAATATAGTGATGAGGGCAGAACAGTCGCAGAAGAATATGGAGGAGCACAAACAATGCCTGCGTTTTGGGTAATTGCATGCGTAGAGAGGTCCTTTAATACCCATTAATTTCTGCAACAGAAATAGCAACAACCATAATTTAAGATCAATTATATATTCTACAACCTAAAAATCACAGCCTTTAAGAAACGCACATGTAAGATTAACCTCGTTATTTTAATTGATTTGGTAAAGTTTTTGGGTGTATTCAAGCACGCAGTCACATAGAGATCCGTGGGTTCAATTAAACCCATTCAACTTTTAAAAAGTATTAATGTTTTATAAATTTTACAATTTCAACCTCAATTAATTTTATGTTGACCTCATAAAATAAATTATTAATTAATATTTTTTTAATTTTTCCCTTCTCTTCGTTTTCTCTTAAATTATATTTTTTCTTTTGGTTAGATATTTAAGAAAGACTACTCTTTTGGATTATAAGGTAAAATGATGCTCATTTTATTTTTATTTTTTTAATTAAAATTTTTTTTTTTTTAGCTTTCTTAATTGATGAAAGTTCATGAGTCATAAGTTTTTGTTGAGTTTAAAATTAGAAGATTAAATTACTATATTTTGATGTAGGTTTTGATTTAATCATATTCATATTGAGGTATGGGTTGATTAGTTGTTGTTTTAAGTTGGGTTTGATAAATTTTGGTTAGTTATTGAGTTAATTTTGAATGATTTAAGGAATTGATAAAACCCCAAGTTGTAGAGATTTAGAAATTATACAACGTTTTTAAAATATAAAAAATTATTGAGAATAATTGTAGAATTGATAATTTGGTATGTATAACTTTTAAAATTACATTTTTATGCTTATTACTTTAATATATATTTTATTATAAATTTATCAACTTTGATAGTTTAAATCCACTTACTCAAAATTCTGGCTACGTCTCTTGGTGTATTATTGCACAATCACTTTAATGTTCCCTAATTTTCTATTACTATTGTTATGTATATCTGCATTGACAGATTTTCAGATTCTACCCTTGACATTTAGCTAATACTTGAACTCATGAATTATTTGAAAATCTCTCCTTCTCCATTTAAAAACAATTTCCAAATAAATAAATAAACAAAAAATAGCCTAACAAGCTCACAATAAAGGTGAATCAAGAGGTAATATCTTTGCCCATGATTTACCTAAGGGGCCACAGCGATAGATTGTCAACTTCTCTTGAGGATTAGTCAAGATATACATAAGCTAGTCCGGATACTTCCGTTAACAACAAAAAAAATTAAAAATAAAGCTGGCCATTTTTCATAACTTTATGATGTGTGATACTATAATCCTTTTAATGATATGGTCAATTTTCTATAATTTTATTTCTCAGTAGCATTTTGGATTGGGCTTAGTGTGTTTTTGGAAGGTCCAATATACATTAACATGAAAATCAAATCAACAGCCCAAAACACTACCCGCCACCGATTATCGCCACGTAGATAGATCCATAACCCCATAATAAACAAATTTATTGATAAAAACAAAACACAAACAAACTGAAAAACATATGCGAAAGACAACCTTATCCAGAGGAAATGATAAAACACAGAGCTCTGTAAGAACAAACCCAACACAACAATGGCTTCCATATCACCTACTTCTCTTCAACTCTCCACAAACTCATTCCCCTCACGCGCTCCGTCCCTCTACAAATCCCACGCGCAAACCTTCACATTCACCACCCACGCCACCGATTCCGAAACGCCAACCGAGTCTGAACCCGAAACCTCCAAACCCGACTCGGGAGACCCGTTTGAGTCACGGCTCTCGCAGGTCAGGATCCGATACAAGAGCGGAACCGGGAAAAAGGCGGAAGTTCGGAAGGCGAAAAAGGGGGGCGCCACCGCGAAGGCCGGGTCGTCAATATACTTGCCGCCGGTCCCACTGAAGGAGGCGGTTTCGGGCGGGACGAAAGTGGAGTTCGGGTTTAGCCCTTACAGCGAGAAAATCAACGGGCGGATAGCGATTTTGGGGCTAACGGCGCTACTGGCGGTGGAGTTGGCGACGGGAAAGGGGGTGATAAATTATCACACGCCGGCGATTGTGCTAATTCAGGTCTATTTTGTGGCGGCCGTAAGCGCGTTGTTTGTGAAGTATGAGAAAGAGAGCGTGAGTGTTTGGCCTGAGGCTAAGAAATGAACTTAGAAAGATGTAATTATCATGATTGAGATTATCTTTTTTGTNCCACAAACTCATTCCCCTCACGCGCTCCGTCCCTCTACAAATCCCACGCGCAAACCTTCACATTCACCACCCGCGCCACCGATTCCGAAACGCCAACCGAGTCTGAACCCGAAACCTCCAAACCCGACTCGGTAGACCCGTTTGAGTCGCGGATCTCGCAGGTCAGGATCCGATACAAGAGCGGAACCGGGAAAAAGGCGGAAGTTCGGAAGGCGAAAAAGGGGGGCGCCACCGCGAAGGCCGGTTCGTCAATGTACTTGCCGCCGGTCCCACTGAAGGAGGCGGTTTCGGGCGGGACGAAAGTGGAGTTCGGGTTTAGCCCTTACAGCGAGAAAATCAACGGGCGGATAGCGATTTTGGGGCTAACGGCGCTACTGGCGGTGGAGTTGGCGACGGGAAAGGGGGTGATAAATTATCACACGCCGGCGATTGTGCTAATTCAGGTCTATTTTGTGGCGGCCGTAAGCGCGTTGTTTGTGAAGTATGAGAAAGAGAGCGTGAGTGTTTGGCCTGAGGCTAAGAAATGAACTTAGAAAGATGTAATTATCATAATTGAGATTATCTTTTTTGTGTTAATTAATTATTGGTATAAATTAATTAGTAAATTTGAATACAAGGGGTTTTACGTTTAACAAAAATAAAAATAATCTCTCAATTATTTCAATGTTGGGAAGGTGTTGATGAATTAAAATTATAATAAATTAATAATACAAATAATAAATATGTTATGTCAAATCTTCACCAGAAACAAAAATGAAGAAGAAGATGTGACTTAAGCACAAAACTTTTAAGCTATCAAGTGTTGTACATACAATTAACTTGGCTTATTGTTATTTTTTTTTTCCTTTTCTCGTGGTACATTGGATTTGTTATGTCCAGTCCAGTCAGTCCAAATAGAACAAAATAAGTAGATTATGTAAAATCTTCACCAGAAAGAATGACGAATTTCACATGAAAAAATTAAATCTAATAAAAAGCTACAATGCTGGCTCAGGCCCCTCTGCCAAATCTTGTAAATGGGGAATTTGAATTCTAATTTTGTATGAACAGCACTTGATACGCCTCTGATCTATACCCTCTCTAAAAGTTTACACACAATCCATCCCTCGCAGGCTCAAGCTTTCTTGTTACTCCCGGCAAACTGGGAAATCATCTCACTCTCCTTGCTGCTAAATCAAATTGTTGTTGGCGCTTCGTGTACTTGGTTCTTATAGAAGCTGTCAAACGAGATTAAGTAACAATCAACTAGTTGATGATGACGCCCGTGTTAGAAAATCGTTAACTGCAAGATTACTATCTCCATGCGACACAGCATCTTCTGGTTCTGGCATGAACAGAGAAGATGAGGAAGCCTGCACATCAAAAAACACCTCTTTTGGTCATTGCAAGAACAACAAAAATGGCTTGGGGTTGGTTAAATACAAAAATCCCAATTACTTGAGTAATCACCATTAGTAATAGTCAGTCAATTCCAACCTATTGTGGAGGGCTTGAACATTTTTTACTGGTTAATGTATTTTGGCTATGCTTAGGTTGAACATACCTTTGCATCAAGTTGCAAATCTCCATTATTATCTGCAACAACAGATGCACCATGCGCCTTCAGCCACTCCACACACTCCTCTATTCCGTCTGAGTCCTTGTCATCACATCCTTCATTTGTCAAGCTGACACTAGGGAAGCCTAGGACCTGAGCAATGTATGAAACAGGTACTGTTGGACGATATGACCGAGACATGCAGCTTACAGCCTTAAAACGCATCTTTTCTACATGAAGATCTGCCAAATGGCCAAAAGGCGGGAAAAAAGAAAAAAGATTAGGAAAAAAAAGGACTTCAACCTCCTATATATTATACTGACAACATGATATTCTCAAACTGGAGATAGCTCTAATGATTTATACACACCCATAAAGCAAGTGTTCAAATTAGGTGCTGTCTTGTATAGTCTGAAGAACGTAACATAATTTCCTGAAGTAACAGCTGCACGAACTGCAAGGGCATGTTTAACAGTTTCGTCCTCCTTTGCCACATTTGATAATCTGGCAACTCAACACAAAAGAGATTTAGCATTAGCATTTGATCTCAAGAGTTCACTAATGATCTTTCATCAACTTGAACTCCACATTTGATGACCACTCAATAAATGCATCTCTAGAATAGAACACAAAAGGTACATGAAAACCACAATTCTGTTAAGAGCTCTACAACTAGGCCCAAGCACCATGTTAAAGCTCCCGATGTAACCACATATGGCACAGAAAACTGGGTTCACACTATTCTTGAACATGGTTGGATCTAACCCAAAACATAGAGAAACCAAATCAAGCATCAGGTAAGGTTCACATTTAAATTTCAATCAGAGCTTCTATTGTTGCCAAGCACTGCAACTCCCCCACTACCACATATGTACATGCACGAGTCAGAGCATACTCGAACATATCTCAGTATCTTATAACTTTCTGGCTTCTCTAAATGAGCCAAGTTCCTAAATTCTAGAAACTAAAGACAATGTACCACGTTTCCAGACGAGTACTCTCGACGTGAACAGGTACAGAAAAAGTTATTTTTAACAAGATAAAAGCTAAAAGTTACACTTTGTTCAATAAACAAGGCTGAAATTATTCTACCTAAATTTAAATGATTGATAGGGCATTATAGAATGCAACTTTGGGTTAAGATCCAATCACTCAACAGTAGACGGTGAATGACATTTAAACTTCAAAAGGGACTTTCCTACATTGACAGATCTGAGGCTCAGATAAGTATAAAAAAAAATAAACAAATAGCATTCTTAATATCCATAAACATGCATCAAAACCACATTTCAAATTCATGATGGTAACATATCAAAATACACAAAAGAAGGCAAGAAGGCAAACATATAACATCAACAGAAGCAGTCTTCTTTCTGAAGTAGTCACTAACCTTGACATCCCAGATAAAAGCTCCTTCTTATTGTTAGAGTGCAAGATAACACAAAGTAAGTTGTAAGCAGAAAATTCCGACTGGCATCCCTCAATTCCTTCCGCATAAAGGATTTTCAACTGAGATTGGCACTGAATCCAAATAAACCGAAGTCAGAGAATAACTCTGATTCAATAGAAATATGAGACTTTACATTAAACATTCAGCATTTTATTAAAAAAAAAAAGGTCATATTTAAAGCATCATGTTCAGAAAGACACCAAACACAAGCCCAACTGACTCTCTGCTGTAAAGTAATAGTAAAGGATTCAAATACAAGACCACTTCTGTTAATCAAGCTTTAACATCACGTTCGGGAACCATACAACCTTACAAGTTTAAATTGATACAGAGGGACCAAACAATATTACTTAAACTCTGAGATATCTTATCCACCATATTTTCCAAGAGCCTATTCTTTAGGATGATGAGCAAACTGCAATTAATTACACTACCACAATAATATCACCTTCAAAGTTACTGCACAGCTTACTGATAACAAAAAGATGGTCATTTAAAAATCAACTCTAGCCTCAGAGAAACATCAAGGAAAGCAAGAAATCAGAATAACAATTTTAATGAAGGTTGAAAAAAGAAAAAATTCATCCAAAGAAAAAAAATTCAAAATGCCTTTTGTCAATAGTAAGGCCAGAACCTGATTATACTCAGGCAAATCTCCATATTCTATTGCCAATCGAGCATGAGTTTCATAAACCTGAAAGCAAGTCAAAGATCAGTACAGAATACAACTAGTATAAAAATTATAAAATCATCAAAAGTACAGACAAGATTATCCCTTTAATGGAAAGAAGGGGTAAGGGAGGGGGAAGGACAGAATGGAAAGAAGGTACAATTATTTATTTATTTATTTTATTGTTGGGGGGGATGCATGCTGCTGTCATACATACCCTAACTGTTAGATGATTGCGTATCCGTTGTACAGTTAGATCTTGACGAATAGACTTCAACTGATCACATTTGTAAAGGTAGTTCTTTTGCGAATTCTGAACCATAAGCAGAGCTTTTTCCAACACTTCTTCTGGTCTCACCTGAAAAAGAGAACACATTATGCCAACAATATAAATAATTCACCATTTATAATTTTTCTTTCAATTCAGAAGGCCTAGAAAATTTATTATCAAACAAGATAGTGATAGTACAGTTGAAGGATCAGGTGCAGAAGTGAGACGCAGATAACGTTTCTCAATTTCCTGGCAGGTCCCTTTAACAGTCAATGCATCCCAATCAATGTCTTCCACAGCCCTGCTGCCACCATCTTCATAGTTTTTGCTAATCACTAAGGCACTAGCCCTCCGGGCATACAAGTTTCCAGCACCAGCATTTCTAGGTTTGAAGTGATTAGTTTCTGCTCGATTTCCTTGGCCTTTTTCAAAACGTTTAGAACGATTTTCACGTCTCATTCTTTCCTCTGGTGAATTAGCCAGTGCTATAGCACCAGAATAATATGTTGCTAAACTTTGTTCCTTATCACTATCACTTGATGCATCACCATTGTCTCGAGCATTAAAACCATCAGCAGCAAGACGCTGCCTCTTAACTGGCCTCTGGGCACTTTTATTTGCAGATTTCTGCTCTGACAGAAGAAATTTAATATTATTCAAGCCATTCTCCTTGCTCATATTCCCACTAAAAGGCTGCAATAAATTCAATCAACTTGACAAATTTAATATTAAACCAAATATATGCAGCTCTAGAATTGATAAGTCAAGAATTGGGTGCAGAACAACAACAACGGAGATCCCACAACAATGCGGAAAAAAAAGGGATAAAAGGTGAATGATGGAATACCTTTTTATCCTTCTCATTGGAACGAGTCCAACCACTAAATTTTACAGTATCATTACTGGCAGTAGCTAACTTGCTAATTAATTTTTCCTCTGGCAAAGGCTCCCATCTACTTTTGGTTCGTCTACTTGGACTCCTCTTATACTTTGGTAATGCAGAAACAGCAGTTGAATTCTGCAAACTGTTAAAGGGCATATAACTTTTTAAAAAGAGATAGTAAAAGAAACAGAGCACTACTAAAATCAAAAGTAAGAGCATACTTTCATTCCTAAAACATCTATACAGAAGTCAAGGAGAAAAAAGGTAAATCAAACTAATTTTCTATTATTTTATTTTTTTTATTGGGGGGAGAGAGAGAGAGAGAGAGAGAGAGAGAGAGAGAGAGAGAGAGAGAAAGTACATACTCTTTATTGACCAATTCTGCATTAGGTAAAGGGAAAAGAGGCTCGGTATCCCAATCTCGTGTGTATAGTGTCCCATCAGCCGTTGCCTTAGTAATTATCTGGTTAAAAAAAAATGGAGAAAAAAGTTGTCACATATTTTTACTAAATCAGAACAGGGTACTGCAGAAACAAGCATCAATCAGTATATAAACCACATCAAATTATCTAAACAATGAAGCACAGAACAAGTAAAAAGCCTACTAGTTAAGCTGTTGCAACAAATAAATTTAGGAAGTCCGGAAATCTAATGACCAAAAAAGCAGAGTCATGTAAGAGATGGATTTTACAGCCAGATTCCTATCTCTACAGATACAAAACATAAATAAAGAATAGATGGCAAAAGTGTTGAGCGATATGTTAAACTTTCT